GCAGTCAGGGGACAAGGAGTGGAGGGGGGTCAGAGGAGAAGGAGCAGGGGGGTTTGGACGGGTTGGGGGTTCTGAGGGGGGCGGAAAGTGGAAGGGGGTGGATAGGGGGCAGGGGCCAGGCTGTTTGGGGAGGCACAGCCTTCCATACCAGGCCTGCCATACAGTTTTGCAACCTCGATGTGGCCTTCAGGCCAAAAAGTTTACCCACCCCTGTACTACACCCTCTATGGCAGGGCCATGGGGGGACAGTAGCCCAGTCCCTGGTGAGATGGCCCAGCCTCAGTTTACCCTGACCCAGCTGTCAAACATCAGCCCCTCCCAACATCTGTGGAAATTTCCTGCTTCATCCTCCCCTCCCTTCCCTATTACCGGGGTATTGCAAGGGACCCCTGAACAGAGGGACCAGAGGACCGTAGCCCCATGAGGTTTTTTTTCTGCCTTAAAAGTGAGCAATGTGGGGAGGAGACAGAGAAGAGCAAGTGAGGCGCGGGTGTAGGAGAAGGGGCAGAGTGGGGACAGGGCCAGTGGTTCCCCCACTTCTAGGGAGCCTCCGGCGCTCCTGCTCCTTGCTGCCCGGAGGAAAGGCAGGCTGGGAGAGGGGAACTAAAAAAGTTGCAGCTTGGTTAAAACCCATCCCCCGTGTCCTTGGTGAACATATCTATTGCTCCCCCGCGTTCAGGACCAGCCTGTGTCTGAATTCTCGGTGATAACATCGTGTGACGTGGCAGGATTCCAGCCAGAGTGTTTCTGCTTTTCTCTGGCTTCTTGGCTCACTTGCTGTGAACACAACAGAAAGGGGGAATTGGCCCAGCTGGGGTGTGTGTGAATCCTTCAGCCCACTGCCCGCTGGAGGAGCTGGAAGAAGCAGGGGCGTTTCACTGCAGGCTGCCCCCCAGTAAGTAGCACTGATGTGTCTCACATTTTTCTCTCTCCTGGCTTTTGCTCCGATTCCCTGCAAAGCCCCAGGGCTGGCGCGGGTGTTAAACCCACGAAGGGCCCTTGCGATGATCTCGCCTGCGCAGCACAGGGTTAGAAACTCTCCCCCGGGATCCCAGCCTGCAGACCGCACTTTAGGATGATCCTTTAGACCAGCGGTTCTCAAACTTTTATCCTGGTGACCCCTTTCACATCACAAGCCCCTGACTGTGACCCTCCTAATAAATTAAAAGCACTTTTTTTTTATCTATTTAACACCATTATAAATGCTGGAGGCAAAGCAGGGTTTGGAGTGGAGGCTGACAGCTCGCGACCCCCCATGTAATAACCTCATGACCCCGTTGAGGAGTCCCATCCCCCAGTTTGAGAACCCCTGCTTTAGACCGGCTGGAGCTGTAAACACCCTGTTTTATTTCTGGGAGCAGAGATGGAGCCCCCCCCTCCTCCTCCATTTCCTGCGGCTGGCGCTGTCACCTCCAAAGCAGGGTGTTCCTCCCAGGCAGGAACCACCTTTTCTGCTCCATGGGGCCACATGGGGGTGCCCCCCTCCTCCCCCCATTTCTGTGACCCCAGAGCTGCGCAGCCCGGCTGAAAAGAGAAGGTTCTGATCAGCTCCCTGGACTCTGCAGCTGGACACTATCGTCTGGGTGCTTGCGCTGGTCGAGCTACCTTCTGTGAGCTGGGGGCCATCTTCATTTTGTACAACAATGAGGGCCTGCAGTGGGGTGGGGCAGGGGGAAGGAAGGGGGTGGGATGGGGAAGAGTAGGGGATGGGGGGAAGTGGATGTGGGGGGCACAGGCGCAGGGGGAAGAGGCCGTGGGGAAGGAAGGGGTGGGATGAGGAGGAGATGGAGTGGTGGGGAAGAGAAGGGGATGAGGGATGCGAGGGCCAGGGGAAGAGGCTGTGGGGAAGGAAAGGGGTGGGATGAGGAGGAGATGGAGTGGTGGGGAAGGGAAAGAGGGGAGCAGGGGAAGTGGGGGACATGGGAGCCCAGCATGCAGATCCCCTTGGCAGCAGCTGGGGCTCCCCTGTTAAGCAGGCCCATCCTGAGAAGCCCCACCTCCCCTGCATCGGTACCACCCCAATGAGCCCCCCAGACACCTTCCCACTGAGTCCCAACCACCTACACCTGGACCCCCACCCAAATGAACCCCACCTTCCCTGAGCCCAGATACCCCCCTGCTGAGCTCCCCCCTGCAGACTCCCATTGCCCCTGCAGCTGGCACCTCCCTGTGCATCCAGATCCCCACGGAGCTGCCTGCACCCAGACTGCCCCACACAGAACCCTCGTACCCCCCCATCTGGATCCCCCCACCCTAAGTCCCTCTGCACGCGGATCCTGCCGCCAGGCTGAGCCTCCCTGCCCACATCTGGGGCGCCTGGCACAAAAGGGGCAGGGCCCAGGGTGTTTCTGGGGCTGGCCTGGCCCTTGTGCTGGGTCAGGTTCAGCCTCACGGCCAAGTCCCTGTTCCAGGGGGCGGGGGAGGCTGCAGGGATCTCCCCCCTCAGTGGCCTGTGCTCCCTCCTGCCATGGTGGAGCTTCCACGTTTATTTATTTTTTTTAAAAAAAAGCAGAATTTTAAAATATGCCCAGAATTTGCTGCCAAATTCCCTCAGGACTGTGGGGCGCTGTACAGCTGTGATGGTGGGACTGGGAAGGGGGTGCTGGACAGTTGGGGATCTGTGGGTGGGGGAGCTGGGCAGGGGGTGTGGTGTGCAGGGTGCAGTGCAGTTGTGGTGGGAGGTCACCGGGAGGGGTCTCTGGGCAAGGGGTGCTGGGCACAGGGATCTGTGGGGGGAGGTCTCTGGGTGAGGGGGCGCCGGGTGTAGGGATCTGTGGGGGGAGGTCTCTGGGTGAGGGGGCGCTGGACGTAGGGATCTGTGGGGGAGGTCTCTGGGCAAAGGGGGCGCTGGATGTAAAGATCTGTGGGGGGGGTCTCTGGGCAAAGGGGGTGCTGGACGTAAGGATCTGTGGGGGGAGGTCTCTGGGCGTAGGGATCTGTGGGGGGGGAGGTCTCTGGGCAGGGGGTGCTGGGCACAGAGATCTGTGGGGGGAGGTCTCTGGGTGAAGGGGGTGCTGGACGTAAGGATCTGCGGGGGAGGTCTCTGGGCAAGGGGCATGGGTCGTAGGGATCTGCGGGGGAGGTCTCTGGGCGAGGGGCATGGGGCGTAGGGATCTGCGGGAGAGGTCTCTGTGTGAGGGGGGGCTGGACGTAGGGATCTGCGGGGGAGGTCTCTGGGCAAGGGGCATGGGGCATAAGGATCTGTGGGGGAGGTCTCTGGGCGAGGGGACGCGGGGCGTAGGGATCTGCGGGGAAGGTCTTTGGGCGAGGGGGCGCCGGGCGTAGGGATCTGCGGCGAAGGTCTTTGGGTGAGGGGGTGCCGGGCATAGGGATCTGTGGGGGAGGTCTCTGGGCAGGGGGTGCTGGGCATGAGATCAGGGCACTGGGCAGGGTGCAGTGTGGAAGGGACACGCTGGCAGTGCAGGGCTGGGCGGGCCAGTGTGCATCTAGCAGTTGTGAGTTTGTAAACAGTGCCCTTGTGCTGGGCTGAGGGGGGCTGCTCCCGCTGTGCCTCATTGCCCCCAACTGGCCCCTCGTGCTGCGGACCGCCCACAGCACATGCCTTATTTCCCAATGGGGGTCCACAAATATGTTTGGCGCTGGGCCCGCAAAAAGTTAATCCGGCCCTGTTCCAGCCTCCCAAGAGTAACATGAGACAATGAAGACACAGGAAATGTCTGGTCGGTGTGCAGAGTTCAGAATCAGCCCATTTCTGAGAACAGGAAAATAAAACTAAATTCCTCTCTTCTCTGCAGAACCAGCCATGGCTGTCACGAATCCAGCACAACTGCTCCTAGGTGAAGTGACTTGTTCGGTGTTTCTAGATTATTTTAAAGATCCAGTGTCTCTAGATTGTGGGCACCATTTCTGCCAGGCCTGCATCACTCAGTACTGGGAGGCATTGAGTACAAACTTCCCCTATCCTGAGTGTAGAGAAACCTTCTCCCAGAGAAACTTCAAACCAAACAGGCAGCTGAGGAATATTGTAGAAGCTTCCAGAAAACTTACACTGGAGCCCACAAAAGAACCAGAAGTTGGGACAGTGTGTGAAAAACACAAGGAGGATTTAATAGTCTTCTGCCAAGAGGATCAAACACCCATTTGTTTGGTTTGCCCTATGTCCCGAGATCACAGAGAACACACTGTGGTTCCCATAGAAGAGGCTGCCGAGGATTACAAGGTAAGAAATCATGGGATGGTATAAAAGCTGGGACGTCCAGGAATGGCATTTTAATAAAAAAAATTATGGCAAAAAAGGTGGATACGGTTAGACCCCCTTACGAACAATACTTTAGCAATGAGAACAGACTTATAACACACTGTTATTAACCTGTTCTGGCCCCAAACCATTTTTAATACCATAAGGACCCAGAAAAGTCAGTTCTGAATTGCCCAGGGGCTGAAATGTATAACCTATAGCCCAGTACTATTACAGTGGAACTGCTGCTGACCTGGGACGCAGATTCTGCCAGAAATGAAAAAACATCTTGTGTGCAGGTGTTGTGCACTTGTCATGAATCAGCGCAGCCACAGGAATTCCCAGATTTTCCTGAAAAAAGGCACAAGAAGGGGGAGAGGAAAAGTCTCCTGGCTGAAACGTGGCATATGGAAACAAGTGTAGTTGGCTTCAATATTGTCACCTCTTAAAAAAATACCCGTAACGTCTGGAAGATCCCAACTTGCAGAGATTTCAGGGACCCGGCAGTACTGACACACAAACCCTTCCAGGGGACAGTGAAGGTCATACACATCACTAAGCATTGGGACTAATTCTGCTTTTCTGTTTTTCATACAGTATTTTTTATTTGTTGTGTATTTTTGGGAAGAGTCGATCCCATATGTGCAGCTGAGACATTAGAGTCTGTTATTTTTCACTGGTAATTTTTAGATAGGCCTAAATGTTTCTGCTCCACAACTTTTGACAGTTCATATGACAATGTACAACCATGAGATCTCAAGGGATATTTTCTTCTATTCCTATAGGACACACATGGGTCAGGTGTTTCTTCTTGTCCCAAATAATGAACAATCACTTTGTCCACATTTCCACCAAGAACTTCATATCCGTATCAATGACACAAAACCTCATCTGTATCTATCAGTCTTTGGAAATATCTCTTCTTTACCAGAGGATCCCCTGTTGGGAAAAGATCGGGGCCAGCTCTAGGCACCAGCAAAGTAAGCAGGTGCTTGGGGCGGCACATTTGCAGGGGCGGCAGGGATCCAGCATGGAAGCTGAGAACCAACAGGGGCCCCTGGGAGCTGTAGTTCCTTGGCTAGCTCCCTGCCTATAGAGCCAGCTCTGGAGCAAGGAAAGAACTACATTTCCCAGCATTCCCTTGGCCGCTATCAACAGGAAAGGGAGGGAGTGAAGTACCCTGTTTCCCCGAAAATAAGACATCCTCCGAAAATAAGGCCTACTTACAGTTTTGCCTCTCGTTGTAATATAAGGCATCCCCCCGATAATAAGACCTCCCCGATAATAAGACAAAAAATGTGTACCGTATTCTTCTTCATTGAAAAATAAGACATCCCCTGAAAATAAGACCTAGCGCATCTTTGGGAGCAAAAATTAATATAAGACACTGTCTTATTTTCGGGGAAACAGGGTAGCTAAGACATGCTGCAGTTTGCTGTGAATGGAGAGCTGGCTGCTAGAAGGATGGCCCTGTGAATGGGGGACAAGTCTGCCCAAGGAGTAGGAGGCTTTGGCCCAGATATCCCCTTCAGAAGACATCCCCAGACTGGATTGGGGATACTGGTGTGACCTCACCTTGCAGCCCCCAAAGAAGGAACTGGGTGGACTAAATGGACAGTGCACCTCTGGATCTGAAGCCTAGCAAGGGAGGTACATGGACCCCACTAGAATTTAAAATGAAAAGTAAGGGAGGGGCGGCTCTCCTAGAGGACCTGGGCAGCTTTAGATACAGTACCAGGCATGTTGGAGGATTTCCACTTCTGAGCCATGGAAGCAGAAATGGACTTTTCCTTTCCAGATTTAGCTAATATCCAGAAAGGGAATCTAGCACCTGCCTTCCAGATTTGAACACCTCAAAATTCAGGAGTGCTCAAGCTCAGTTTGGGCAGCCGTTACTTCATTTCCCCCAAATCAAATATACTGATCCACTGGAACTTGCTGTAGAAAAAGTAGGATAAAATGGAGCAAGAAATGCTTGTTTTTGTTTGTTTGTTTAGTTTTATTTGTTTAAAAGGAAGACCGTGATATTGCATTGGCAAATTCCCCATTTTTCTTTTGTTAGGACCAAATTCGGAGTCGTTTGAAGATTTTGAAGAAAGAGAGAGACGCGATTCTGTCATTTAAATTGAGTGGGGAAAATAAAAGCCATGAAGTGCTGGTAGGTGCCGTTATTACTCAGAAGCAAATGTGCACAGGGCCATTATCAACACACGACTTAGTCTGAGTATCATCAGAGGAATAGTGAGTAACACGTTCTCAGCCGTGAAAGATGATCACTTATTTCTTCTCATTGTAAACAAAAATTGTTCTGCTTTAAGTGAGAGTAAGCCGGAAAATGCAGCATTGAAGAAAGTTTTAATAATTCAAATATTTTCACTGATAGAGTGTAATTTGTTTACTTAACAGTAGTTTCTCCTTTAGTCTTTCAACTAAAGCTGGTTGAACATCTTCAACCAAGAAAAGCTTCCTGCAGATAAAAAGGTTTAGTAGAAAACAAATTTTTTTCATGGGGAAAAGTCACTTGCAACAAAATTTTCAATTTTTTGACAGGAAATTTCAAAATGAAACAAACATTTTTGTCATTTTAAACTGAAATTTTCATTCAGCTTTTAAAAAGCTGAAAATTTTTAAAACGTTCGTGTTTGTTCTTTATCTCTTTCTCTTTTTAGTCCTCTTTTCTACTGAATGCACTAAAATGAATAATTTCCAGGGTTTTTTTCTTAGTTTTTTCTTTTTGCCATTTTTTCAGAAATGGGAGCTCTTTTGAAGAGGTACAGAGAGGAAGTACTAAAAAGAAAAATAGGGGGAAATGAACATTATTTTGTTCCATTTTAGGAAAAGGGAGAATGAAAAATATGTTGAAGTAACTTTTGAAAAATGTCACATTTTTCTAACCAATCAAAAGAACTTCCATTTGGAAAACAGAGAAATGGAAATAACTTTGAAATTTCAATTATTTTTGCAAATTTCCCCACCCCCTAGTTTTTTGGCCAGCTGTACTCAGGGCCGGCTCTAGCTTTTTTGCCACCCCAAGCGGCGCCAAAAAAAAAAAGCCCTTGAAATGTGCCACCCCAGGAATGGCAGGAATGCCACCCCTTCACTTGTCTCCTTTGCTGGTGCCTGGAGCCGGCCTTGGCTGTATTTTCAACAGAGATAACCACAGCTGGCCAATCCATGCAGCTGCTCTAGGAATCTGCTCCCCAGAGGAGGAGGCTGGTCACTTAGTGCCTAAGACAAAGCACAAGGACGTCATTGGAAAGACTCCGGGTCAGTTCCGTGAGCTTTGGGACAGGCCCTTAATGGTATCGCTGATAGACATTGCCATGGGAAGATCTGGGTTCCAGATCTGGTCTGATTTCCTTGCTCCTAGGGTATCAGGGGCCAGAGAGTGCTCCAGAAACAGCATAAATTGGTGGACTTCTGTCCAGTTCACATGCACTCATCCCTAAGCATCCTGTGAATTCAGATTTGCATGTGCAAAAAGGGGTCTTCCCAGCAGCCCAATTTGTGCTCAAGATCCCTGTGTGGCTTAAAATCCAGATTTATGGTGTGCCAAATTTTATGTATCCAAAACTGTTTTCAGAACTCATGAGAGGAAATGATGGAGCTCAAATTTTAGTACCTTTTTTTTTTTTTTAAAGGCCATTTATGTCTCTATGAATTTGTGGACAGCGTGTGTTCCCCAGTTCAAGTCTAGTGCTTCTTAGTTTGGGTTCTGCTGTTTCTTCTACTAAAATAATCCTTGCCAGTCCCGTTCTGAATCCCACACCTGCTGTGCTTCCTGTGATTGGAAGGATCTGGTTTTCTGGAAGCCACTGATCACAGATTATCTAAATCCTATAAAACAAATTTATATTCTAAACACCAGCTAGGACTCTTGAAAACCTATTGGACAATCTTCTGTCTAATGAGCACAGAGTATGTTCTCCATAAAATGTCAGAAGTTATATTCTGTGGGGTTGAAATGACCTGCTGCCACGTGCATAAAATATCCCATTGCTTTATAAAATGTCCCATGACTCACTCCGTAGTTTTGTCCTTGACCTGTGATTTCTTGTTCGTATCTTGTCATTTCAGAAACAGCTAGAAACTGAGAAGCAGAAGATTGTGTCTGAATTTCAGCAACTGCGTCTGTTTCTGGAGAAACAAGAGCGACTCCGGCTGGCTCAGTTGGAAGAGCTGAATAAGGAAATTGAAAAGAGGGGGGCTGAGTATGTTGCCAAACTATCTGAGGAAATAACTTCTTTCAGTTCCCTGATCAGTGAGATGGAGCAGAAGTGCCAGGAGCCAGCGAGTAAATTCTTGCAGGTGAGATGGTGTTAGATAGGAGCTGTTCATTACTTATGGTAGCATGAAAGTGTAAGTAGTCGTTAGAATTCCAAAACCCTTCTAATGATTTTATTTTTCAAAAAATGCCTCTAACTAGCAAAAAAAGAAAAAAAGGCGAGGAATAAAATGTACCATCCTGGACGTCTCTAGCGGCTAGCTAGGGTCAGATTCTCTGTTGCGACCGGTATCTGCTGATCCTTGTCCACCACATCACAAGGCTGAGCCCTCTGATTCCATGTGCCAGCTGGTTATCCAAATGTCATTACACAAAGAGCCTGTGTACCCCCAGTACAAACTTCCTGGGCCCAGATCCTGCAGTCAGAGCACTTCTCCAAAGGCGCAAAGGCAGCACATGTAATGTTTTGTTTGCATTAATAAATAACAAATCATTTCTCTTTGAACCTCAAACTGTGAAGACAAAGCGAGTTTCCTCCAGAGCAGGAGGGATCCTTAGTATGAGAGATGGGACTGAATTTCCTTTTATCTTTCTCCTCTAGGACATCAAAGGCACCTTGAGCAGGTACGTGGCTCCTTCTCACTCTCCCTTTCACTTCCCAATGCAGGGAAGGGATTTTGGACATGAGGCCTGGCTCCTCATGGTCCAGCAGTGCAGAGTGTGGGGCTGGTTCCCAATGTCCCTCCGTTAAATCTAATCTTGGGACTGTTGTCATTTTGACAAGACTCCAGAATAGAGCAGCCTGAGAAAAGTGTGATTGACCTACAGATGGGGTATGGATTTGAAGTGTAGCTGGTGGAATGGAGACCTCAGGAGATTGGGGATGGAGAATGGGTCTCTCATTTCTAGGTCATAGACTCCAAACTCACCTAGGTGGGTAGCGATGGAAAGTCAGGGCCATCTGATGACTATTCAATGAGCTGTTTGTTAATTGTTTCTTATTATGCAGTGAGCTCTATCCGTGTGCTGGGCGTGGCAAGAGATCTGATGGAAGAGACATTCCCAGCTCTAAGGAGTTTATAATGTGCTATTATCAGTAGCACTATGGCAGTGCCTAGAGGCTCAAGGCAAAATCAGGTCCCAACATGCTGGGTGCTGCACAGACACACAGACAGACAGTCCCTGCCCCAAGGAGTTTACAGTCTAAATAGACACAAGACAAAGGGTGAAGGGAGGAAGAATTAAAATCACTTTAAGGAGCCATTCAATAAAGACAAAGTGCTGCACTTTGGAAGGAAAAATCAAATGTACAACTACGAAATGGGGAATAACTGACTAGGCAGCCATACTGCGGAAAAACATTGTGGGGGGGAGAATGTAAAATGGATCACAAATGGAACGAGTCGGCAGTGTGAAGCTCTTGTGAAAAAGGCAAATGTCATTGTGGGATGTTGTCCCAGGTTGCTGTATTCACTGCAGGTGGTGCCGCCTCCTGGCTGTTCTGGGGATTAGCTCTCTTCCAGAGTCAGCACCTCCCCTTGCCATCTCTCCCCCCATTGTCTCTCTCTCACACTGCAGCATCATCTCACTCCAGGAGCTGCAGCTTCCTCTTTGTGACTCAGCCCTGCAGCCAGGTCACTAAATGGTTTCCCCTTCTTGGGTACAGAGTCTCCCTGGTCCCACTGCCCAGGCAATGCCACTCCATCAGTGGCTGGTGGGGGAAATCGACCCCGCCCACTGCTCCAGGGTCCAGCCCAGGGACCGTACCACATGTAGGCAAGGTCTGCTCACTCCCTGGGCTGCTTCCTACTCACCTCCCATAGGCTTTCTTCTCCGCCCTTCTCTCTTATAGGGGTTAGGCTACATGACCCTGGCAGTCCCTTCTAACCCTGTGATTCTAAGTGCTCCCTTCCCCCAGGGCCAGGCTCCCAGCATGCTGTTCTTTCCCTGGGTTCCCTCTTTCCCTTTCGAATGAACACAGGGTGGCTATGGACTTCCTCACTGCAGCCAATTTGTGTTGCCAGCTTCCTGGCTTTATACTAGCCCAGCCCAGTCCACACCTCCAAAACTGAGCTTCATCATCCAATCAGGGGTTGCTTCTCTGGCCTAAACCGCTCATGTGCGGCCTGTCTCACTAATCTCCTCTTTCTCAGCTTCCTTCACTCCTTTGGGGGGCTGATGTGGGGTGAACACCCACCACAGATGTATTAACAGGAGTGTCAATGTAAGACACAGGAGGACGTTGTTCCACCCTTCTCTCTACGGTGAGGCCTCAGCTGGAATCCTGTGTCTAGTTTCGGGCACTGCACTTTCAGAAAGATGTGGAAAAATTGGAGGAAGTTCAGAGGAGAGCAACAGAAATGATCCGAGGTTTAGAATGGATGAGCTGTGAGGAAAGGTTGAACTAAAGGGGTGTGTTTAGTCTAGAGAAGAGAAGACTGAGGGAGGGCCTGATAACAGTCTTCAAATCTGTCTGAGGCTGTTCTACAGAGAGCGGTGATCAGTTGGTCTTCAAGTCCCCTGAGGGCAGAACAAGAAGTAATTGGTTTAATTGGCAGCAAGGGAGATGTACATCAGTGTACACCAGTGACAGGTTCCCAGGGTGCAACCTGGACTGTGGGACTGCTGAGCCCTCCAAATCCCCAACCTGGGCTGCCTCTTGCCCCGTGATGCTGATGTCAAGCTCCAACCCTGACAGGCCCTGCGCTGACACAGACACCTACAGGCAGGGACATGCCCAGCTGTGTTACATGAATCCTCTCCCAGGCATTGATGAACCAGCAGTAGAAGGCGTCAGCCAGTTCCCCCCAGCTCCAGCCCTGCCCCCCAGATCTGCACCAACTCACACTGCTCAACGCTCCCTTGGGCAGTGCAGGTTCATTCAGTAGTTTGTTGTCCCTCAGTGGGGAGTGGACACACGCTGGCCTTTGTAAGCTGAGAACCCCTGTGCTAGTGGACTGACCATTTCTTTTTCTGTGGGTGCTCCAGCCCCAGAGCACACACAGTCGGTGCCTATATATCACAGATCCTTAAATTTCACCCAGTTATTCCTGTATTCAGCCCAATAACTTGTATTTGACTAAATCCTAGTTTGCATTGACTAACGCACCTTCCAGAAACCTAGTCAGTCTAGATTTGAAGACATCAACAGACAGTAACGCTTGAAGATCCCTAGAAGTGGGGGGCCAGCGGTGTCCAAACCATGGGCCCACCCCTGCTCCACCTCTCCACCCCCTGCTCGCTCATCTCCGCTCCCTCCCCCTATCACTTGCCTTTAAGGCAGGTACAAAGGGAGAGAGCAGAGCTCTCCCACTTTTAAAAGTGATGGGGCCATGGCCCCCCTGTTCTGGCACCCCTGTCAAGAGATGGACAATCCACCACTTCCCTTGGCAGTTTCTTCTAGTGGTTAATCCACACAAACTCTTAAAAAGGTCTGTCTGATTTCCCATTTGAATTTCACTGGCTTCAGCTTCTAGCAATTGGTCCTTGTTGTGCCTTAGTTGCTAAATTCAGGAGCCCTTTAGTACCTAGTCTGTTCTCCCCATGACGGTATTTACACCGAACACTCAAGTGCCAGGGTTCTCTCAGTGCGAGGCGTTTTTACCAGCCCTCACATCAGTTTTGTGGGTCTTCTCTGCACCGGCTCTACTTTTTCAACGTCCATTTTAAACTGGGGACACCAGAACTGGATCCAGTTTTCCAATATCGGTCTCACCAAAACGAAGGGGAAGCTTGTAGTGTCCAAGCTGAGATTGGACCTATTCCTGGGGCAATAGAGACTTTAATCCTCCAGGGTCTGCTGAGCTACAACCATGCACTGGAGTAAAACACATTTTAGCAAAACACAAATATGACCGAACTCCACAACGAGTAACACTGGGTTGTTCTTCAGATGCGAGAGGGAGAAGTTTCAGAACCCAGTGGCCTTTTCTTCTGAACTGAAATCGAGAATCTGGGAATCTTCTCAAAGAAATGCATCTCTGGAGCCCATAATGAAGAAATTCACAGGTAATAAAGAGTCACCTGGGGAATTTTCTCACCTATATTACACTGATAATTGACAGAGCTGGGGCAATCTCCTAGGGACAATGATTGTGGATGGAGATAGTGAACTAATCATTTGGAAGCTATGAATTCCCTCCTCAGCTCTCAGTACAGCACATACACACTGGGTTAGGGGCCTACATACGGACTCCCTGGGGGTTTTCCTTTCCTAGCAGCTGTGAACGTTAACCTGAGCTTGAGCTTCACTGTTCTTGCAATACGTTTGTTTGGATTTTCTGTCTGCAAGGCCTCCGGTGTCACCATAGTCCCTCTCTCGCTTTACAGCAGGGCTGGGGAACCATCTTTTCATCATGGGCCATTGACCCACAGAAAAAAATCAATCATGGGCCACTCACCCGCGGGGGGGAGAGAGAGGGGACGTGAGGACTTGGGGCTTTCCCCCACAGCAGGCCGAGCTGGCTTTCTCGGCTGCAGCCCCATGGGGGGTTTAGAGGTAGTGGTGCTGGAACAATTTTTCCAGTGGGGGTCCTGAAAGCCAGTGCTCCCCAAACTTTTTACCTGGCACCTCCCTTACCCCTGTCTGTGCCCCCTCTCCCCAGAGCTAAGGCCAACACTGGGCCTTGGATCCAGGAGGGTGGGGCAGGATGCGGACAGGGGTAAGGGGGCTGAATCTGAGACCACAGCTGGGGGCTGGAGCAGAGCCCTGGGTGTGGGGCCAGCAGATGGGAACCCACCGGGGGAAGAGCCCCAGGCGGGGATCCAGTAGCCATCCTGGGACCCTGGGCAATGGGCCGGCAGTGGGCCCCGTGCAGAACCTGAGGGGTGTTGCAGCAACCGCCACTCTCCTAGTTCCCACGGCTCTGTGCACAGACCAGGGGCTTCCCCCCCGTGGCAGGGTGAATTGGCGCTTGTGGCTCCATCACCGCGGCGGGGAGGGGAGTGGTGCTGCGGGACACATGAAATTGAGCAACAGGCCGGATCTGGCCCATGGGCCATAGGTTCCCCACCCCTGGTTTAGAGAATCTCCACCTTTTATCCTCCTGAGCTGGAGAGAATGAGACCCCCACGGCTGTCAGGAAAGATGAGCCAGTACTAGTGGTTCAGGGGCAGATGTAAAGTTGATTGAATGCTAAGCAGTCAGACAGTGTCTGTGTGTGGATCTGTCTGTGAATTATGTGTTGGTTTCAGAGGGTTTCTCTACACAGCAATTAAACACCTGTGGCTGGGCCGTGTCCGCTGACTCCAGCTCACAAGGTTTGGGCTTGGGCTGTAGCCTGGGGTCTGCGACCCTCTCCCGTCACAGGGTCCCAGAGCCCAGGCCTCTGCCCAAGCCCGAGCATCTACACCCCAATTAAACAGCCCCAGTGCCCGAGCCCTGCGAGCCCAAGTCGGCTGTCATGGGCCAGCCACAGGTGTTTAATTGCTATGTAAAACGCATCTGGGTCTGTCATGTAACCTTAGGTCATGTCCTAAGCTTTTAATGTTTGTGGTTATTTTGTAGTGATGTGTGTAATGGTTTGTGCTGGTCTGAATTGCACTTAACCTCCTTAACTAGAACTTCATAAAGTTTGTTTTGTTTTCATTTTGCTTTTGTGTTAGAACATTAACAATGTGAATATATTTCTAAACATGACAACCTGACATTTCATCTTTTTCACCCATTTCTCCCTCTAGACTCTCTGTCGTCTGGACAGCACTTGAACAAAGGTAAATTTCTCGTATCAAAGGAGGAGCGAAAACTTTCCTATGCATTATGGTGGCTCATTGGCAGTTCAGGTTTTCTTTCAATTTTGCATTTGAGAGGAGCTGACCA